ATATATATATATATATATATATATATATATATATATATATATATATATATATATATATATATATATATATATATATATATATATATATATATATATATAATTCTGAGATTAGTGACCTCCAGGCGATGACAGGTGCCTAATACTCATGAAACCGTCTAAAGCAGACATTTACCCAGACATTGAAATAATTGTTGGCTGTTTAACAGTCTTTGGTTTCATTAATTAATTACTTTTTATTCCAGTTTATTATGTTTTGGCTAAGCACACAGTTATGTTCATTAAATATTATTTCCTATTCTATGTTAACTGTATAAAATTAAATAAAGGTGCAGTACAACCAAAAAGATGTTGGTAACCAAATCGTTTTGGGGGCTATAACATTCTGTTATTATCTGTTAAAAGTTATTTTGTATTAATTTCTACATTGAGATAAAAAATGTTTGAATTTCTATAACTAACGTGCAAAAGATATAGCCCTTTCACAGTAATTTGCTGTAATCACGCTACCTGCCGTAATTTCACAATAAAATTATGAATACAACATATTACTGTGAATTTTTCAGTTAAATACTGTGAAGGGATACTAATGTAATTTACTGTGAAAAATTACAGTAACTTGTTGTGAAAACCTGAAAATTTTTTACAGTGCAGTTCTTGGATCTGTTCTATTCATATTGAACCATCATCCTAGTTTTAAAAACATTATATTAAAATACTTATTTTATTACTCTGTAAATAATTGCACTTTCATGCAAATGATGATAAAAGTAAATTAACAGTCTGACATCTGTCTGTGTCTTTATATATATATATATATATATATATATATATATATATATATATATATATATATATATAATGTATATATGTATATATGTATATATATGTGTGTGTGTGTGTGTGTGTGTGTGTGTGTGTGTGTATGTATGTGTGCGTGCCTGTTTGGGAGGAGGTGGGCGCCAATGGATAAGTTGTGTCAAAAGGGAGGCCCACTGTCTTAGACTTTGAAAAGCCCTGGTCTACAACAACAAATGTGCATTGAATAGTGCAAAAAATGTGGATGAAAACAAATGAAAAACTGTCCAAGACATAAGCCTACTTCCCCATATTCAAATAATGATCGTTTATATCGTGGATCAAGCACAGTCGTGATGAAGTACAGGTGTTCTGAGTCCGCCTGACTAATTCGTGCGCTGACAGCTTCTAAGAGCGCACTTTTAGCTGTTTTCACTCCGTGGTCTGTTTCAGCCTCTTTGTTTAAAAGACGCTTTAGTGCTGCAAGTGACGTCTGCCACTGATGAGCTTATCTCTCTTGTTATCTGCTCAAAGGGGGCGAGAAGAGAGAACGTTCCTCTGGACAATTCAGCAGAACAGTGTCTGCAAACGGCCGTTTTTGCCTCTTTCTCTTACACTTTAAAGCTCTTCCACACTGCTGACATGTTTGCTGCATAAAGCGCGCGCCTCTCACTCTACGCGGGTTACTATTTGATCGCGTCATTAAAAACGTCATTGTTCGGCAAAATTTATTCGGCCTTTTTACTTATTGATTGCCGAATATTCGGTACATCCCTAGTTAATATTTTTCTCTCATTCATTTGTACAATGATAGCAGCAATAGTAGTAATAACAATAGTAGATTAATTATGTGCTATACTTCTATACTTCTGAGTCGAGTGATTGGCATGACTCATGACGTATGCTTTGTGCGTAGTCATGCATTTATATTTCTGGTGCTGTTTGTGTTGCTCTGCAATAACACGTCTGAAACGCTAGGTGGCAGTATGTTTTTATGTTCCTCTGTTGAGTTTCTTCATGGGTGTTTTGTTTTTTCTGAACGCTACCTTAATGTACAAGTAGCTAAAACTCGCTCATTCAGTTGTGGGAATCGGAGGAGGTGCAACAAGTTTAATCATAAGGTAAACACAAAACAAAAGTTTTCATCTGAAGCTCCATCATGCGACTCCACACTTGCGGCTCTCGGTCCCTCGGTTACATTTTTTGAGAGGTACGCATCAGTGTTGGCAATAGCCACAGCGAGGGCTATGCGACCACACGAAGGCTCCGTCGGACCATATGCGTGTGCTTGACGCAAAAGTGAACTGTTTTTAAAAACATTAATATGATAAAAAAAAATACATAAAACTGTTCGAGGTTAGCTTATTAAGCTAAGGCACAAAATGGCAGAAGATGTTATTGTCAAAAAGAGATTATCAATAAGATAACAACAATTAGTAACTAAATCAAATGTTTCCTATCGAAATTAGGCATTATTTTACAAGAGTAATATTATATTTCATACATTTGCTGTGTTATTTTATATGCTTAAAATGTACCTACAATTTTGAAATAAGTATTCAACTGAAATGAGTACAGAATTGAAACACACAAAAAAAGAAGTTATTTTTAGATTGAACTATTTCTGTATAGTTCTCTGACTGGAAGGACAGATGGTGGCAGAGAGACAAGCAAAAAAAAAAGAGAGATAAAGACTAATATCCTATGGCGGCATTTAAACCCGTCTGCGGCGACTGTGTGTTCTCTCAATCTAAAGAGCCTTTTATATGGAAATACAGATAAGGGCTCTCCAGGGAATGCATTTTCCAGAAAATACAAAGCTGATCTAGGAGATTCAATAAACCAGAGTCTGTCATGATTCCTCTGTCCTGCGCTAACAGCCTGAAATATTAACGGTGTAAGATTGCAAAGGCTAGACACTATGTTGAAATGAAGTCATGCTAGCCACAGTCATAAAACATGTTAACATTGTTGTCAGTTGTGCAAAAAACATGCTACCAAATCCTTTTAAAATGAAAACATGTAGTCAATTGTGCTAAAAACATGTTACCAAATCGTTTCAAAATTAAAACATGCTAACATTGTGGTCAATTGTGCTAAAACATGCTACCAAATCATTTTAAAATGAAAACATGTTAACATTGTAGTCAATTGTGCGAAAAAAAACATGCTACCAAATCCTCTTAAAATTGAAACATGCTAACATTGTGGTCAATAGTGCTAAAATTATGCTACTAAGTCATTTTAAAATTAAAACATGTTAATATTGTGGTCAGGTGAGCTGAAAAAAATGCTGACATTGTGGTCAATTGTGCTAAAACATGCTACCAAATAATTTTAAAATTAAAACATGCTGACATTGTGCTAAAACATGTAACCAATTTATTTTGAAATTAAAACATGCTAACATTGTGGTCAGGAGTGCTAAAAATATGCTACCAAAACCATTTTAAAATTATAACATACTAACATTGTGGTCAAGTGTGCTAAAAACATGCAACCAAATTATTTTAAAATTTAAACATGATAATATTGAGGTCAGTTGTGCTAAAAATATGTTCCCAAATAATCTAAAATGTAAACATGCTAATGTTGTATTCAATTGTGGTAAAACATGCTACTTAATAATTTAAAAATAAAAACATGCTAACATTGTGGTCAAGTGTGCTAAAAACATGCAACCAAATTATTTTAAAATTAAAACATGATAATATTGAGGTCAGTTGTGCTAAAAACATGTTACCAAATAATCTAAAATGTAAACATGCTAACGTTGTATTCAGTTGTGGTAAAACATGCTACTTAATCATTTAAAAATAAAAACAAGCTAACATTGTGGTCAATTGTGCTAAAAACATACTGTTCAGGTGTGCTATAACATGCTACCAACTCATTTTAAAATTAAACATGCTAACATTGTGGTCATTTGTGCTCAAACGTGCTACCAAATAATTAAAATGAAACATGATAAAATTGTTTTCAGTTGTGCTAAAAACATACTACCAAATCATTTTAAAATAAAAACATGCTAACATTGTGTTCAGTTATGCGGAAAAAAAAACATGATGGAAAAACTTTTTAAAATTAAAACATGATAACATTGTGGCGATCTTGTTATAAACATGTTGGCAAGATGTTAAATCATGTTAGCAACATGTTAAAACATGTTAGCATTATGGTAAATTGTACTGGAAAGCATGCTATGTAAAGTGTCTTATCTTTTTAATGTTAAACCAGTCTAGCCACATATTAAAACTTGTTAGCAATATGTTAAAACCTATTAGCAATATGTTTGCCAGTCTAGCAACGTTAACATGTATTGTTCTCTGTTTTGTGTCAGATTGTGACGCGCGGCTGCGAGACCACAGAAATGACCCTGCGCAGGAACGGCCTCGGGCAGCTGGGCTTCCATGTGAACTTTGAGGGCATCGTGGCGGATGTGGAGCCGTTCGGGTACGCCTGGAAGGCTGGTCTGCGGCAGGGCAGTCGGCTAGTGGAGATCTGCAAGGTGGCAGTGGCGACGCTCACCCACGAACAGATGATCGACCTTCTAAGGACATCCATCTCTGTTAAGGTGGTGATCATCCAGCCGTACGAGGACGGAGCTCCTAGGAGGTATGAATGACCTTCTGTTTCTGGAACGTAGCTAGCCTGGTGAAAAGGATGGGTCTTTATTTCTCAAAAAGTTTTTTTTTTCTCATTTTCTATTTAGATACTCTATTTAGTGACAATTTAAGCACTATTTTTAGCTGGATTAGCTTGTCGGATTGTCATCATAACCACATTTTTTGACCACATACTATGGTCGGCAGCTAGGTCTCTGCAACTCGCACATAGTCACCCACAGAAGCTAAGCAGGGCTGCGCCCGGTCAGTAACTTGATAGGAGACCACATGGGAAAGCTAGGTTGCTGCCAGAAGTGGTGTTAGTGAGACCAGCAGGGGGCGCTCAGCTTGCGGTCTGTGTGGGTCCTAACGCCCCAGTATAGTGATGAAGACTCAATACTGCTCAGTGAGTGACGTCTTTCGGATGAGATATTAAACCGAGGTCCTGACTTTCTGTGGTCTTTAAAAACCCCAGGATGTCCTTGGGGTTGGTGGATGCTTCACACTGGTGGTGGATGAAGAGAAGTACATGTAAAGTGCTTTGAGTGTCCAGAAAAGTGCTATATAAATGTGAGGAATTATTATTATTATTATTATTTATTATTACTATTATTATTACTATTATAATTATTTTTTTATTATTATTACTATTATTATTATTATTATTATTACTACTACTATTATTATTATTATTATTATTATTATTATTAATTATTATTATTATTACTATTATTATTATTATTATTATTATTATTATTAATATTATTATTACTATTATTTATTATTATTATTATTATTATTATTATTATTATTATTATCATTATTACTATTATTATTACTATTATTATTATTATTATTATTATTATTATTATTATCATTATTACTATTATTATTACTATTACTATTATTATTATTATTACTATTATTATTATTATTATTATTACTACTATTATTATAATTATTATTATTAATTATTATTATTATTATTATTATTATTATTACTATTACTATTATTATTATTATTATTATTATTATTATTATTATTATTATTATTATAAAATACAAAGGTATTACATCATATAATATTAGGAAAAAAATTGTAGCCTTTTGCCTGCACATTCAACTTTCCTAAGCCAGAATTTGGCCATTTGATTATTAAACAATTTAAACATAACAATGCAGAGCTGCACGATTTTTTAGCCTCTCTTGGAAAAAAAAAGTACATTTGAAAATCCATGGATGACCACAACAGCCTAATTAGTATTCAAATTAAGACTATTATGGGTCGTTTTTGGTTCTTCACACCTTTTCATTGGTAATTATTTAATTTTCTAAAGTCTTCGATGGGTTATTTGCACAGTTTATGATGGCATAGCAGTCAACATCTGACAAATGAGCTCATGTATGGGGCAAATTCTGGGCCTTTGTCAGTGAGGGAGGGTCTTTCGAACCACTTGTGAACCCGCCCTGGCTCTGGGCCTGTGTTTCTGTTCATTCCATTAGACTGCAGACTTGCATATGAAGTATGAGAACATGCATGTTTATCTATATTTTATATAATAGTTTCCTTATTATAATTGTACAAATATTTTGTTGTTATGATCTTTAGATATAATATTTTCTTATCTTTTCTTTATGCATTTTATTTGTAAATATATGACTTTATTTTTCTTATTTTATAAACTTTTAATGCCATTAGTTTTGTACTTTAGAAGTGTTACATTGCATCCATTACATCATTACAAAATATTGTTATGCATTATTGCAGGAATATTAAATGTAATTCTACAATTAATCTATGCAGTTATACATTGCAGTTATACATTAGTGATTTGTTTTCTTGCAGTCATATTTGATTATGCTTCCTGAAGAAATGATCACTTTAATTAATATGGCTTTTCCCACATTAACGTGAACTGACTGATTCATTCAGCTGCTCTTTCTCATTTCTGCTAGTCAAGTGACATGGGCTAATTAGGTTAAGTAAACAGATTTAAGCAGATTCTGAGCTGTCATTTTAATTTGCGCACTAACGAGACTCACAGACAGACCAATGAACATCTAGAAAGAGATTCTATGGAGCTTTAATAGTAGTATAGACAAGTCACATCACATATAAACACACACATCCAGAAGCTCAATGATGCTAACGTAACACTGATTTCAACTAGTATTTTTAAAGGGGAGCTATTATGCAAAAATCACCTTTATAAGGGGTTTAAACGTAGTTGTGTGGCAACGATCAGACTTTGATTGACATTCTCTCTTTGTACGTGTCATCAGAGGGGGAAAAGCCCCGCCCACTAATCAGGCCAGATAGAATCTGCCAAGTGTTTTTGACTGCGGACTGCAAAACGGGGGCGTAAGATGAAGGGGCATTACTTGTATTAAGTTAGAGGTGTAACTTGCAGTTATCGAGATCCCATTGAACCATGAGATGTCACAATGAGATGTTGTTGGCAAGATGGAGGAAATGCTTACCAGAGAACATTTTCATCAGGTGTTTTCATGAGTTTTCTCCAAATATATCCACAACATCCACAAGATTCTGGTCTGCAAAATATTCTAAGTCTCTAAGTCAAAGTCTTCAAAAAAATGACAAAGTCTGAGATCTCCAAAGTCTTTAGGCAAAGCAGTTTATTTTTACAGCATCAGTAACAACAGAGACAGGTCGTTCGAGTGTCTGCCGAACAAATGCTTGCACACAGTTTAAATACATTTCTGTGTCTTAATACTCCACCCAAATTTACACATTACACACCTCCATCAGCTTCTCCACTAATGGGATCTTAAATCTCTCAGGTGCCCGCCACCATAAAGTCTCAGGGTCTTTCAGGGGTCTTACCCATGTCCAGTTAAGGTCTTTCCTTCCTGTTTCAAAAGCGATGACACAGCCAAAAAACAATGCTCAACAATATATCTTGTTCACTGTCCACTGAGCTGTCAACTGTAAGTTCAGCTGAAGTTCATGGGTACTCATATTTTTTTAGAAGTCATTACTAATGAGTGTGGGCGCACGTGCAGGTGTGCCTTATCATGAGTTACAGAACAGAACGCAGGTGTCCTTATGGCCTTGTTTCGATAAATCGACCCTCATTTTGACAAGAACGCTGCTCTTCTAATTTATCTTCTCATCTCTGACTGCATACAGAATGACTTTTTTATTTACCAAAGCACACATACCTAATATTAATGCCACATGTATGGGTAATAATACAATAGATAATACAATAGATAATAAAAATAATGATAATCTGAAATCACTCAAGTAAGCATATAAATGAGAGTAATACATTCATCAGAAATTCATCAAGACACAATGAATTCCCCAACATAACTCGCAGATGTACTTTAATAACTGGGAAGGTTGGGTTAAGGGTTGGGGTAGTTGTGGACATTAATAACTGTGATGGTTGGGTTTAGGTTTAGGGAAGGTGCCATCCTGCCGACAACATCATTTTGACATGGCTCCGTAACTTCAAGTTACGATTCTAACATACTATAACGTACTACATTACGCTCCTAAGGCCCCTTCATGTTATGCCCCTGTCCTGCTGTTGGCAGACCGACCCTACTTAAATCTGCTGATATTTTGTGCAATTTCTGCTGAGAATTTTGTAAAAATCTGTAAATTTATGCTGAATGATTTTAGGAGTATCATAACTAAAAACCTAATGTTTAAAATAAAAAATAAAATAACATTTATTTAATGTTAACAATGCAAATCCAATTAGATCCACTTATTTGGTAAACAATGCAAGTCTCTACTATAATATCTCTACTAAAAGACAGAAAATATGACTTTACAAACTGTATCATAAATAAATAATGTAAACATTTTGATATTACTGTTATTTTATCACAATATATCAGTGAAATAATTTAAAAACTGAATGAATATGAATTTACGCACTTTTATAAATGGACTCAATGATGGGTTGGAAATCTGCGGATTTCTGTGAGTGCAGATTCCGTGTGGGCCCACCCACTAGTGACCATCTCTCCCTCATTAGCATAGGATGCTTGTTTTTGAATCTGCCACTATGCTGACACACAGGCATTTGTAGCTCTGCTTTCTCTTGAAAAGAGCACAATCTTATTTGAACGTGACAGTCACCAAATCACCACGATTAGTATCATAAAAGGGTCAGTTTCAGAGAGTTATAAAACATTGTTTGTGTGGTATTTTCAGCTGAAACTTCGCACACACACTCTAGAGACATCATAGACTTATTGTACATCTTGTAAAAAAGGCATAGTAGGTATCATTTAAAGTCTAAGGCCCAATTCTATTTTTGTACCCCTTCCCCTTCCCCTTGGCCCTTATAACCGAGGCTTCAAAATGTACCCCAAAGAATTGGGACAGCACCTGCACACGTCATCACATGTCATTGTGATCTCTTGCTTCATATGAGATCAGATGATGGCGACTGCTGTAGTGATTCTAGTTGTGTTATTTGTTGGTATTTATCTTCCGGAAATCTCTAAAGGCATATATCATGTTATCATAACGATCTAATGTGGCAATAAGATCCTAACTGTACTGCGCATTTGCACAGTGGCCATATTCATCTATGTAAACACACAAAAACAACATTAACACTATAGCAGACGCTGTAAAAGCTCATTCTCAGCCACTAAACATTACTGACAGGGTATTTGAGTGTCATCGAGTGTCAGAATGTTGTAGGATTGCTGTACAGCAGTTATTATTATGGATTATAGATGGTGAAATTTAGCGGCTTTTATTTTAGTCCTTTTTTTAAGCATGACGATAAAACAAGAGTGCGGTTATGAATATATTAAAACTTGTTTGTTTGCCATAAAAATTTGTAATAATGATTAAAAAAAAAATTATTTGTGGATCTCCTGACTTCCGGGTGCAGCTATCCTGCCGTTGTGGCTGGTGTGTTCTGGGAAATTTTTTAACAATCTTCAAAAAATCTACAAAAGCAAGCTCCTGATTGGTCAACGCAGTACGAATGTCCACTGAAGTTCAGATTTTCCAAA